GTACAGTTTTAAGGGGTTTAGAAATTGAATAATTACTTTATGCATTATGAAGGGATGAAGGGATCTGTTCACGTCTGGCAGACCTGTTCCTACAAAAATTCCTTTATTCTCATAAACTATTTATTTTTAAATGTAATTTATTATAAATCCCATTTGTTTTTTAAATTCCACATATGTACTACATTTTATCTACCAAGCTCGCCAGGTTAGTATTTGACGTATAACCGACAACTTCGTATACTCGATTCACCTGGGCGCCTGAGCTACTACCCGAACACAATGCTTATAATGTGGTATTTCCGATTTTGCTCTACTTTGCTTCGAATACAATCCCACATTACCTAAGAAGAATAAGTTAGGTACCTACAAAAACAGTAGACATAAGTAGTGTAAGTATCTACATACCTATAATAGTAAGGATGTATACTCTCTTACCCATTTTATTGACAAGGCAAAACTTATATTAAAAATGATTACCTAATACTAATTCTTGAAACCTTGCGTTTTTTGAAAAGCAATTATTGCACAAAATTAGACATGATCCACTATCTCAGTCAATGTCGGTCATCTGTTATAATTATGTAGGTACTTATTTATATATTTATAATAAGCGTAACTAATTAATCCATAAACAATAAAGCCATAATTTTATTCTGCTGTTAATGAGCGTATTTATTATTTACGCTAGGGGTGAATAACTTTTATTGATTTGTAGTAAATTTCCAGTTACCTTTAGAGGTACATATTCTGAGGTTTAGTTCCACTTCCTTAGCCATTGGTGTTTCCCTCAGACAACTAATTATAGATTTTACATTTTTATCTCGTTGTTTGTTTATAAATTATTTATATAAATCTCTAGTAATATGCATTCTTTCAATTCAATTGGAAACAAAGTAACATTGGAAAACATCCATCCAATTATTATTTAATCTATGAATATAATAATTAATAACATAATAGAATCCTTGAGATATGCTTATTATTGCAAAATAAATGTTCTCTTTGACCTCATTCCGATACAAATCAATCAAAATATATTTTGTTTTTATCTAATAGTATTTCATATATACGCGTAATGTTTTGGAGGTAAACTATATAGAGGAACTTACTAACAAATTCGACAAGGACTAACATTTTTTTCTTAAATCTTATACTTCTGAACACAGTTATTTAATTGTTAATTTTTTTAATGGCATTTATTTTAGCAGTGATATAACTTTTATCTTAAAGTTCTATTACATTAATATTTGAAATTCTTTTAATCGATTATTACATAATTAAATTATAATTAAAATGCATTTACTCTTAGTTTAACTTATCCTATAAAGCAGTTACCTACTTATAAAAACACACAAATCTCATCTAAACTTTACATTTTGTAATTAAAATATTTGTTCAAATTTTATTATTTAATTCAATATCGTAAAATTAATAAAAGAAATCATTTACTAAAGGACTAAAGGTACATTCGGCAAAACGTTCTTGTGGTCTTCGCCATACTCTTGCTTGGCCGTCACGATCGCCAGATCTACATCCCATGGATTATTTCGTTTGCGGTTTTATTAAAGAATTGGTGTATAGTTCACCAGTCTGTGCCCTTGAAATGTTAAGAAGAATTGAAAATAATTGTAAAACTCTTAAACACGACCCCAATATGATTAAGCATAATTAGGTGATGTGAGAAATGCATTAAGGTTCGAGGACATTTCGAACATTTGTTTGATACTTTTTCTTTTGTTCTTCATTGTTAATTGTTATTTCTGTTTGTTTCTCAATATTAATTATTTTATTCTGTATTACCTTGTTTGACAAACTTAACTATTTCACATGTAATGAATCCATAGGAAACCATTTTTCTCAAAAAATCAGCATTTCATTCAAAAACATTAAGAGACCTTTTTGCTGTAGAATAAACCGCAATGTAAAAAAATTTATTCATTTTGAAACATTTCCAGTGGCGTAGAAATTATATTAAAAATAGTGGTTATCAGAGCCCCTTACGGACCCTTATGATTGATCTATTTTCACACTAATTTGTAAAATCGATAGAGCTTTTCATTCGTACATTTCATACTAAATATAAAACAAACGGCTTTCGTAGTTTAAGATAAAATAAAAACCAAAAAAAAAATGTTTTTTCACGAGCTTATACCTCTAAAAATAAGCCTTTGGAAGAAAAAGTTTATACATACTTCAAAATGACATTATTTTGACGAGATCTATTGATGGTTAAAGTTCGAATCATAAAAAGTGAATCACCCTGTACAACATTATTATTTAGGTAGTTAAAACACTGCTTTATTATTATGCCACAAATTAATCTAACTAGTGGTTCTATTGACACGTGATCTTAACTTTTTACTAGATATTACACTTGTAATTCAATGCTAGTCAGGGAATTAGTCCGTAGAGTAGTTGTTTCTCACAAAATCATATGTTAAAACTTTGTTTCGCATAGCGGCGTCACGCCCTACTTTCGTAGTACCTTCAAATAAGCAGGTTGTTCTCTGATAAAAACAAAATTTAATTATTTATTTATAGACTATAATAATTAAAAAAGTTCGACATATCCACATGCAATTTTATTATATTTATTAGTTCATAAAAATGGTTCCTTGAAATAAATAATCATATGCATACGCATAATAAAATATAATTTAATTTGTTTCATGTTTATAAATTTTAATTAAATTTCTAATTCGCGGCTTTATCTTATCAAATGCACGTAAAACTATTCGAAGGTTATTTGTTATTAGCTTGAAATGTATATTAGATACATACATATACTTTTCTCTCTTTGTACGTGTCGATATGCGGCAGTGATAACAAATATTATTTTCTAGATTATGGCGAAGGCGATAGTGATATTATTCAGAAAATAATTTATCTAGTTACGAGTATAATTATTGAAATTAATTCAACTCACTTACAGTCGTTTCAAAATCTTATGAGCTCTGACTTTCATATGCGCAGAAAAATAATTCCGACCGTCGCGTCGCCTAAATTATTCTACGTCCTAAACACATTACATCTATTATTCACAGTCTATCTCAAGCTCTCGTAGCGTAAACGTAATAAAATGCCCTATGCTTTATTATTTTAATATAAGCAATAAAAAAATATATAACGAACGTTCGAAAGTTGACTTTATTGATGCCGGAGCGCCTTAGTTCATTTCTGGTTGTAATGAGGTACGTGGTCTAATTCTGAGTCAATGTTTTCACAACGTGCTTATTAGAAGAATTATGCGGATACGCCACGCCTTTCGCGCATTTCGCGGCTCATGAGATTTTGAAACTACTCTACATTACACAGAGTTTCTCACGAGGAAAAGCACAAACCTTAAGGGGGACATTACTAGAGCAAAAATAAGTAAAAAAGTTTGTGGTTGGTTTCGTTTATTTGGGAGATAGGTATGCACTTTGTTTTTTGCTTAATATTTTTAAGAATAATGCGCTGTTTCAAAAGAAAAATGGGTTTCAATTTTTTACAACGCCGTCATCAGTTACGAACAGCTGAGTATTTTGGGGGTATTATAGTATAATTAAACATCACTTTTTTTGTTAAATGCTATGGAGTTATATATGTTTTACAGTTTAGATCAATTTATCCCCATTCAAAAGTTAATACCGACTGGGATGCAGCTTTGTAAATTTAATTTTGTGGTACTACATTCAGAAGCCCAAATCATTAGACGGTGACTTTTTTATTATAATTTTAGCGACATGCAGCATGTAGATATACCTTTTACTTCCGTTCTTTCAAAATTTGTGCCAAGAAAAGAATATGGCAAAAAAACAAAAGACTGCTTAGGATATTTTTGCGGCGTCTATATTTCAGGTAAAAAGTAAGCTAATATAGTGTATATAAATAATAATAAATAAGTTTAAATTATGAATAAGATATCTTGAAAGACTTCTACGATACGCAAAAATAGGCATCTACCATCTCCCCCAAAAAAGGATATTCTTCCGTTATTTTATCCATTTTCGGAAAAAGGTTATATAAAAAGGTACTTTTATTTTTTGATTTATCATCCAGAGAGGCTTTAACAGATACTACCTTGACTGTCTTTGTATTTTAATTATATATAATTATACTTTCGAATTTTTAGATTTTGATGACGAGATATACATATGGTTTTGTATATTTCATAATTAAGGAGAACTAAAAATAATATTTATCTTGATAACTTTTGATACATACTATTTATCTTGTAGCTATATTTGTGTTAATTTTGTGTAACAAAATAAAATGTACAGCAGCGCATAATCTAAGGGTTAGTTCTAACCGAAGAGGCAGTTCTTAAAAAAAAGTTAGTTCTAAATGTTAAAAAGGGCAGTTGCAAAATTTGATTATTAGAAGTAGACCTCCTTTCTTATTTGTTTGTATAAAAAAATGCGTGTCTGTTATTTGCACAAATCGAATTTTTCGGGCGCTTTCTTTAAGCTAGCATAGGTTGATTGATTTTGGGTAGTTCATAAAATTCCTTAGATTATCCCCTGATATACATTATAATAAATACCTATTAACTACAGTTATTTTAATTTATTTAATGTTACAAATATTAATTAAAAGATTCGAAAACTTCTTTTATCCACTATACTTACATTTACAGTAACAGTAATGAGAAAATACCAGCAACTCAGTAAAAAAAAAATGACTATCATTAACTTTTTTTTATAAAAATTATTAATTTTGGATTTTCTTTGTCTGTGTGGTATTTATATTGTTATTTATTTATTGTAAAATTGTGTGGAGATTCCACTATTTTTCCCCAGTAGAACCTACTTTCCATTTATGAAAATAGATTATCTACCGACTTCAAAATAATTTTGTATTAAAACGTATCCAAAGATTTATTGCAAAAAGTTCTAAGAACGTTATTTCAAATTATCTTAAAATATAAGCCAAATTGAAAAAATGGATTAAAGTAACAACACATTTTAATATAACATTTTAAATATATCATTATGTAAAAATACAAATTTTTATTTCAGGGGACTTCGGGAAGTATCAGGCATGGCAATTCACGTTACACATTCTATCAGCCGTCACTGCAGGACTCAATATGTTGTCTCTGGTAACAGTGGCAGCTGTACCAGATCACAGGTAAATTTTGTACTACATTGTTTCTTGATGTATTTCAGAAACTGTCAATTTCATATCAGAAAGGGTTATTTAGGTATGTTTCAAATTAGCCAATTTTATTTCAGAAACTGTTAGTTCAGTTTTGAAATTCGCCGTTTTGATTTCAGACAATTCTAATTTCACAAAGTGTTACTTAATTTTTAAATAACATTGTTTACATCAAATACAGGGTGTTACAAATTAGTTGGTCAAGCAGTTAACTGCATATTCTTTGGACCAGACTTTTCTCATGCCACTTTTCAGGGTATCAAAATTAAAACTTAAAGAATGATTTTTATTAATAACTCCGATGATTGTAGAGATATTTATTTGAAATTTAACACATATTTTTATTTTAAGTCGGACACTTTTTATGTAGTTTTGGTCAAAATATCAAAGCGCGAACGGAGGGGAGGGGGTTTCAGTACACATGGACCCCCTACGCCTATATTTTGCGAATATATTTTTTTTTTGGTTAAGGCGGCTTTTTTTTTTTTTTTTTTCCTTTTTTTCGGTTTTTGTTTGGGGGCTTGTTTTCGGGGTTTTTTTACTTTTTTTGGTACGCGACATCGATTTAATCGACGTTAGACATTATTTCTTGGGGCTATATGAAAGATTCGAGTCGTTATTTATTTCAATTTACTAAATAAATGGAAATGATCATCATTATGATCGATATTTAATTTGAGCTAAATCTAACATATCTAAAAAAGTTGCAATATCTCGTACAGCAAGCCTCAAATCAAAATTTGTGGTTTCAGTCTAAAGTGCTCTTTACCTCCTACTATTCATTTTTTTGTTTAGTTTATATGGTACCATATAAAAGACATTTTTCATAAAATCCCAACAATTAAAGTCTTAACGTCGACTAAATTGATGTCGCGTATCCAAAAAGCTACAATATCTTGTAAACCGAACCTTAAATCAAACGCAAGATACACAAGAGTGAAAAAAATAGAATAAAAAGCCGCTTTATCTAAAAAAAATATTCGGAAAGCATAGGCGTACTCAAATAAAAAATAGGGGGTCCATGGGTACTGCAACCCCCCTCCCCACCGTTCACGCTTTGATATTTTAAACCAGAATTACACAAAAAGCGTGCCGACATTATATCAAAATATGTGCTAAATTTCAAATAAATATCTCGACAATGACATCACAATCTCAATCAATAAAAAATCATTTTTTAAATTTTAATTTTGACACCCTGTATTTTGAAAATGGGGCCCCGAAATGAAAAGTGGCATTAGAAAAGTCCCATTATTTTAGTCCAAATAAGAATAAATAACTAACTACTTGGTCCACTAATAACACCCTGTATATAACAGGCAATTATTAACTATATTAAAGCATTATGTGGTGCCTGGCAAATGAAATGATCTATTTTTAATGTTTTAATATTTGTAATTAAATTATCTTAAGATGAGATAGAATAAAGTTGATCACATTACGAGAAAGTTGCAAAATTGGTGATAAATAGCGGGACATAGAAAAATGTTACCTTTTTTCATATTGAAGTTTTATGATTCATTTGAATTTTTTAAGCATAGTTGTTGTGTTGTTATTTGTAAAAATGAATAATTTCATATTTCAAAAAAAGTAACTTTATAATACAGGTAATAAAAAAATGCATTGAATTAGAAAATGTGAAAATAAGAAAAACAAAATTGAACCATTTTTATAATATTTACGCCACGACGTTATGCTCGAATTAAACAACATGCAATCAAATATTAATCTATACATTCTTCAAGATGCTGGTGATAATGGTGTATTAATTAGAATCAGTCCAGTCAAATTGTCAAATTCTATTTTTAATTATAAGATCTAACTCAATTACACACTGAAACCTCAATGGACATTGGAGTTACTTACATTAAACCAAAAACTCAACTTTGACAAATACACAAATTCAATTAAAAAAATACATTGCCAGAAGGAAACATTTTTGTAATCTAACTTATAAAAATAAAGAACTTCCGAAGAGGACAGCTACACGTATCTCCTTTTTGTCGACCTATCCTATAGAATCCTCATTGTCTAAATACAAAAAAGAAGGCGATTTAGAATATAAAAGTATGAGCTGCTATATTATGATGTTACTAATGTTAAACTCATCAAACCTAAAATTACAAAAATTATCCTTAGAGTTCTGTTATACCAATCACAACATGGAAACCAATTTATAGTATGAGAAATGCAACTTATTTTGTAATACTAGTTAAAGGACTTCTGTCAATGACCATTTGGTTTATCCTATAAAATATGTAATTATTGTTACAAAATTCAGTGTTGTTTTTCTTTCCTGGTAGGTGCAAAAGTCTATATCTTTGTGCTTTCTATTAAAAAAAAAAAAATAAAAACGAAAATCGAATGTTTTCAGTTATTCATCAAGTAATATCACAAAAAACGATAAATTTCTCTTTAGTGTATTATTTAACATTAAACTCCATAATTTTTCCTTAATCTGATTAATTATATGTCTCTTAATATTACCAACATTATATAGTTCAAAAAAGGGCACTCTCCCTTGTCCCCAGTATAAGACATACATTTTGAATACTGTAATACATTCTTAGTTAAAAGCTACTATTCTGAAATACATCTGCAGAAAGTCTTATTATCTCAGTCATATTATCTTTTACTAATTACCTTATAAAAAAATATTTAGCTAATTTTCTAATTCACGTGTAAAATAATGTATATACTTATCAATTTAAATGTTATTCTGATGTATAAGAACTGCTTTATTTTAAACAATGTTTCCTAAATTGCATTATGCATTAACAACTCGTAAGCATAAAATATATTAAGAAAAAATCATGTTATATTCATATATTATTATATTTTCTCAAGAAATAGAAAGTTAAGATAATTTTTTATTAAAAAACTGACATTTAAAATTTTTTTCAGATGCGAAATTCCAGGAATAGACTTAAACGGCACTTTTACTCCATTAAACGATTCCATGAAAGAGATATTCATTCCAAGATTGGCATCCGGCAAGTTTGATAGCTGTTCACTATTTAACATCACAACAAATTCAACTTATAAGTGTGACTCATGGGTTTTCGACCATCAGTACTATGGGACTTCCCGTGCTATAGAGTGGAAGTTTATATGCGATCAGAGGTGGATGGGTGCTGTTGCCCAGTCTATGTATATGTTTGGTGTATTCACTGGAGCAGTTGTTTTGGGAAATCTCGCTGATAAAGTTGGAAGGAAACCAATCTTTTGCTGGTCTGCAGTACTGCAGTTGGTGCTCGGTGTTGGAGTAGCATTTACTCCAGAGTACTATTCTTTTCTCTTCATACGTTACCTATATGGAATTTTCGGATCTGCCGGTAGCTACATACCTGGGTTTGTACTTACTATGGAATTAGTAGGTGCCAGCAAAAGGTCCATGTGCGGGGTGGCTTTCCAGGCTGCCTTTGCGATGGGATTCATGCTGGTAGCTGGTTGGGGATCATTTATAAAAGACAGACAAATACTCCAAATTATATACGGCTGCCATGCTATAGTTTTAGTGGGCCATTTTTGGCTCATGGATGAATCTCCTAGGTGGTTATGGGGACAAGGAAGGATCAAAGAAGCTGTAGATATTGTAAAAAAGGCCTTGAAGATGAATGGCAGCCCAATTAATTTAGAAACTGCAGAATTCGTTAGTAAAGGCAAGTCCGAAACTAGAACTAGTGGAGAAAGTGCTGGAGTTTTAGACCTGTTCCGAACTCCAAATTTAAGGAAAAAAACTTTGAATGTCATGCTGTGCTGGTTTGCCAATTCTCTTGTGTACTATGGACTTTCATTAAGTACTGGAAGTCTAGAGGGAAACCCTTACGTTACATTATTTTTGATGGGTTTGGTAGAATTACCAAGTTACGTTGTGACGGTTTACCTGATGGATCGATTAGGCAGACGATCACTCACGGCGTTCGAGATGATTGCTGGAGGTATTTGCTGCATAATCGCAGCTAATTTGGCAATGGGTAGCATAACATCGACATCTTTCGTATTTATTGGAAAGTTTCTAATAGCAGGTTCTTTTGCTATTATATACAATTATTCGGCAGAATTGTTTCCGACAGTTATCCGTAATTCTGCAATGGGATTAGGCGCCATGTGCGCTAGGACATCTGGAGCTCTCACTCCACTGATTACACTTCTAGACTCATTTGACCCTAAGATGCCTGCAATCATCTTTGCAGTGATTGCACTCATTTCAGGTTTCTTCGTTATGTTCCTACCAGAAACGTTGCACAAATCTATGCCGCAAACCGTTCAAGATGGAGAGGAATTCGGTATTGGTGATACATGTTTCAGTGCAATGTGTGGAAAAACTAAACTGGATGAAGACGAAAAAGAGAAACCAGTGTTGAAGAAGCCCCAATCAGAACTGCAGCCTTTAAAGTGAAGGAATTACCGATTAAAAGTGTATATAGCCGATTGAATATATTGATAGCTCTGTGCTTTTTTGCACAGATTGTTATTTTGTCCACGATATTTATTAAATAAATATTTTTATAATGCTATACATGGTGTATGTAAATAAAAACATTATTTTTAACAATAAACTTTATTTACATGTAGTTATTCACAAAGAAAATGTCTTTCGTACTCTTTAAAACAGAACATGAAGTAGTTTCTAATTACAGAAAATAATAACATATACAATTAGATTTAATATACTTTTAAGAGGAAATGACATGGATAGTGCATATTTACAACGAAAAAGGAAGTACTTGTTTATGATTTTATTCAAAATAAAAGTTATAATGTTCTAAAATAAAATTAAAATTGGTACCCCAATAAATGCTGTGAAGATAAAGTTGTTTTGCTAATAAAACAAAGCGCATAGTAAAATATGTAACAAAATAAAACTTTTTCCAATAACGCAAGTAGGTGTACAATTAACAAATAAAAAAAAAATTATAAAATACAGCAATTGGGAAGTTGTGAGAATGTGAGTCTTAAAAACACGTATTACAGTAAATTCTTACAGTTCGAGATAAGTCTTTTTTTCAATATGTAGATATAAGATTCAGTAAATAGAGGTTGAATATTTCCATCCACTATTAAAATGTAATATATTATAACATGCAAATAAATACAATTTATACAAAATTTAATAGATGATGGAAATGATGACTTAATACTCGTGCATTAGACATTTATACATCTTTTAATTTCCTAGTGGCTAGAGAAGATGAACATATTTAAAATGTGAAAATATTAAACAGACATCTTTTCTGAGAACACAACATAACTTTTTTTTTAATAATTTTCCATATATTCATAAAATGAATCTATGAGCATATTCGACATTTACTCACTCATTAGCACATATTGTTTCAAAAGTTGTAAATTCTACCAGTAAAACGATGCAATGTGGCAAATTAGTTGCATAAAATACACCGTTCTTGCACTATAACATAATTTGAAGTAAAAACCCTAAAATATAGTTTAGTTTGATTCTACTACTTCTACATTTGTTTCTTTTTTCTTTTCTCAGAAAAAACTTGGTACTGCATATAGTAGGATCATATTCGACGCAAAGTAGAGCAAAATGTTGTCGGTCTTTTATTAAAGGAAAATCGTGTCATCATTTTTAGGAGGCGTAAGATGAACCACTTCAAATTTAAAATGAAATTGAATGTAAAATCTGAAACACCGCTGCATATGCACTGTGTTCTGGTAGTAGCTGTAGTCGCCCAGGTGCATCGAGTGTATGAAGTGGTCGGTTATACGTCAAATACTAACCTGGCGAGCTAGATCGTAAATCAGAGAGCGCCTCCAAAAAACAAGTAAACAACAGTGGCACGTATAGAGGTAAAATGTAGTACATATGTGGAATTAAAAAAACAAATTGGATTTATAATAAATTACATTTAAAATAAATAGTTTATGAGAATAAAGGAATTTTTGTAGGAACAAGGGTGCCAGAGGGGAACTGATCCCTTCGTCCCTTCATAATGTATAAAGAAATTATTCAATTTCTAAAACCCTTAAAGCGTATTGCATTGGATCCCTTGACAGGCAATGATTTATTACTTTGCATCAAATGTGATCCTACTATAGTGTGTTTCGATTTATAAGCATATACAGGGTGTGCCATTTAACACTCCCGCTGCCAATATCTCCGAAATGAAGAAATTTATTTTAGTTCCGGAAACGGGTTGTTAGGTCTCTCAAATGGCTTCAAATTGCAGTTAGAATTGTTAGTTCAAATCTTTCTATGTAGATGGCGTGGTGATACTAAAAAATGTTTTGATTCCTGGAGCGTGGAAATGCCGTCCACCTGAAAGATTGTTAAAGTTTGTGTAATTTTTGTAATATAAAGATTTTCCCAATATTTATTTGTTTTCAACTTCAATATGCAATGCATGATGTAACAGGAAAATCTATTTTTTATTTAAATCACAATGAGACAAAATATTCTTTTAAAATATTGTTATATGTAATCGCTTTATTCACACCACGTACTAACTAACAAACAATACATTATAAAAAAAACAAATGATTTATGGTTCCAACAGGATGGACCCCTCTCCCCCTCAATACTAATGCTGTGCAAGAATACTTAAATTAGAGGTTTCCGGTGGTTAGATACTAACAAAGTTATAAGGTGGCCGGCTCGTTCACCAGATTTGCCCCATTACATATTTTCCTATGGGGTCATTTAAAAAACACTGTATATCAGGACCCTATATGAGAAGACATGGCAGATTTGTATAATAAAATTTATGCAGTTACGGCATAAATTGTGACATTTTATTAATAGCTGTTTTACATTGACAATTTATTCATGAATAAATTGACAAAGTTCTTCATGAATAAATTTACGAATTTATTGGTAAACAGTGTGGTTTTACACTGCTACAGACTTTTTCAATTTTTTTGACACATGAATCAGCTCTACCAACAAATCAAAGAAGCAAATATTTAAAAAATATCAGCTTTCTACTCATAATTATTGTAGTGATACAACAGCGGTACCGTTTGACACATATTATATAAATATTAGTTTTTGTAAGTAACAAATCAGTAAAAGCAAAGCAAAACTAGTATGACACACACAATTATTTACATATTTCAATAACATAACCTCATTACTGATCTGAGGCTGGAAATCTGTTGGGTTGGTACTTCTGAACTTCACGAAGAAATTGACGAAAATTAGATCATGTTCTAAATCGTCAAGAACTTGATGAATAAATTCATCAAGTTATTTGACAGCAGATTTGGTGCATTACACTTGTCCAATTTCATGATGAAGCGACTTCATGAATTAATTGATCAATAAATTGTCAATGTAAAACAGCTATAAGAACCTGTAATGTCAAACTAATAAGAAGACTAACATTGTGTATAAATGCTGAAGGACATAGTTTTGAACATTTATCTTTGTTTTAACTTACATCTCCGTTATTAGTATAAATACTTTCTGTTACTTTTTCTGTAGTTGATCATTTATTTTTTTTATAATTTATTGTTTGTTAGTTAGTATGTGGTGTGAATAAAGCCATTACAACTATATTTTAAAAGAATATTTTGTCTCAGTGTGATTTAAATAAAATAAGATTTTCCTGTTATATCATACATTGCATATTGAAGTCGACATCTTGAAAACAAGTAAATATTGGGAAAAACTTTAGAAAAATTACTCAAAATGTAAAGATTTTCAGATGGACCGCATTTCCACATTTCAGGAATCGAAATTTTTTTAGTATCGCCACGCCATCTATACAGAAAGATTTGAACTAACAATTCTAACTACAATTTGAAGCTATTTGAGTTAACAATCTCAGTTTCCGGAACTAAAATACATTTCTTCATTTCAAATATATTGGCAGCGGGAGTGTTAAAGGCACACCCTGTATACAACTAACTTGAGAAATAAAAAATAAATGATATATTTTTTTATTAACTAACAATATTTGGAAACCTTTGATAGGTTTAAAAAAAAATGTTTTAGTATTTTTTTATATCATGCATAATTAGCTTTAATGATTAATGCCAAATCCAGGCGTGTGAAATAACGTGTTACTAGATTTGAAATAAAAACATTTCTAATACAATTTTCTCCAAAAATTGGCACCTGAAGAAATTGTAACAAGCTTAAGATTTACACTTTTGAGGAAGTTATATTAGGTCTGGGAAAAAGTTCATGGCGTTTTTCCTGATAGATGGCGTCGATTGCAATTAACTGACGAACCACTGATTGCAGCGACACCAATAAATACTTGCTGGAAGGGTGACACTTCGAGTGTTACTTGTGTATAGACACCGAAATTGGAGCAGTGATTGGAAAGTTGTTTAAAAATGAAGGAAAGTAATGAAACATTGTGCTATATGTTCGATTATTATTACGACAAAGGGAAGAATGCTGTGCGGGCTTGTGAAAAAATTTGTGCTGTGTGCCGTGCAGGTACTTTATCAAAATCTGCTACGTGGAAATGGTTTGCTCGCTTTCACTCTGGTAATTTTCATGTGAAAGATGAGTCACGCTCTGTTCGTCCATCAATGAAAAAGCTGATGAAATTCTTGAAAAAGTCCAGCAAAATAAACATATTAGCAGTGTCGAGCTAGACAATGACCATAAAGTGTTTTTAACCATTTACACAAAGCTGGCTACAAAACGAAGCTCGATGTATGCATAATTAGCATCTGTTATGCCGCGCTGCTGAAACACAATGAAATCGAGCCATATCTGAAACGTTTCATAACCAGTGATAAAAAATGGGTCACATACATCAATTCGAAGTGTCTAAAATAGTGGAGAAGGCAAAGATAAGTGAGCCGCCACAAGCATTGACCAGGATTAACGTCGAAAAAGGTGATGCTGTGTGTGGTGGGACTGGAAGGAAATCATCCACCACGAGCTACTTCCATTTTCTACTTCACTGTGAACAACTGGAGAGATTACAACAGGCAATTGAAAGAAAATGACCCGAATTGAATAAAAAGAAGGGCTTCTATCATCACAATAACGCCTGACCACACGTTTTTTTAATGATTCGTCAAAAATTGCGGTTGCATCCATCGTATAGTCACCAGTATAGCACTTGCTGACTATCACTTGTTTCGATCTCTGCAGAACTCTCTCAATGGAATTAAGTTTTTCAACGAGAAACTACAGGAGTTCTTCAGCAATGGCATCATGACTCTATCCGAAAAATGGTGAAACATTCTCGATAATAATAAAGCATATTTGGTTTAAATAAATTCATTTTCACATTATCAAAAAAACCAGTTGAATTTCACTAAAAAAAATGCCACACACTTCTTCCGAGGCCCAATATATTCCAAATATGTACACTCCTGCAAACCAGGACTCCAATATATTTCAAGTTGCTAGCCAAAGTCAGGACAAAGTACTTCAGCATCTCTATATTTCTATATCTATTTTTTCATTGTTATGAGGTTAATATTGCGTGCAAAATAAAAATAATTTCAAAATGAACTTATATTGTGTGTGTTCACTTCAAAATGTTGATAGTACAATTTTATTCCCATAAAGATATATCTTTTATTATTCCGTGATTTAATTATACAAAGGAGTGTTATAAATTTTAAGCTTGATTAAACTATCTATAGTCCAACTACAATTACTGGTGGATATACAGCTTCTCATAAAATATGTTAAAGTGAGGCAAAGGCGGAAATCTAATAAACATATTTTTGTCTATGGTTACTTCTAGTAAACAACATAATTTGATATGATATGAATGTGTAGTGTCAAATAATTTTAAGTATACATACATATCTAAATAATTACATTCAAATATGCAAATATGTATATAAAATTATCTAAATTATTTCTTTGCATATCACATTATTTTCTCATGGTTTCCCAAAATGAAGCAAACTTTACTTTCAAAAACTGAACACTACAAATAGGGAGGAGAGACATAAGTAAATACATGAAAATACGCTATGCTTATGACGCGGATTTTATATATACACCAGAGATGAGCTTTTCCTTTATTAAAATTAATGAATATTTTTTCTATTTCTTTGTGAAATGGTACAATCGATGTGTCCAATCAAAGTTCTACTTGAATGTTCGGTTGATTTAACTTATTTTCTAATAGTGAAATGCTCTAGCTGTTTTGATTACGTTTTTAAAATGAATGAAGTGACAAAATTCCGGCTCTGCTTTAAATTTTTTGTTCAACTAGAACTAAAAACTTCCAAAAATCTACTAAACCTCTAATTTGTTAGGTTAAATATAAGCGATGAAAAGAAATGTCCTTCATTGCTTGTAGGAATTAAAAATACTGTACAATGGATTCGTTGTCTTCTGTTAAAAAAAATTAACATATTCGGTTACATACAACTATCCATTAGCTTATCCAGTTGCTTTAACTGTGTTTAAAGAAAATAAAAATTATTACATTTTAGAGATTGTAATAAAATAATTACATTGTTAAATATAAACAAACTAAGACTATATCACAATTAAAGCTTTACGAAATAATATTAATATACAGGTCTACTAAGTGAAGCCATGAGAATCTCAAGAGTTAGGCCCTATAAAACCAATAGCATTATATTATAAAATATAAAATTAACAAAAGTGAGATAAAAGGTAAAGAAAATATTCAAAAATATAATGATATATCAAAGATATTTCTCCCTTTTAACAGATAAAAATTAAGTTATCAAACCTAATTTTATTTTTTGCATACATAGAAGAAAATAAATAGTGCAAGAAATCTGGAAAGATATAACACATATGTGTGTTATTCTTTTGAGACCTTGTTAGGAATATCCAGAAAATGTCTGAACTTTTGAAATGGCATCAACTTTATTGATGTTCAAATGAGTTTATAAGCTATTCTTTGAGGCTACAGTAAGAACAATTTTGCAATAATACTTTCACTGAAATATTATAATAAAAGTGAACATTGCTCACATTTAAGTAAATGAATATTTCAGAATGTAAGACAAGTTTTTATAGTGTAGCTTCTTATCCCAGCTCATCTAAACATGGGTTTGCATTTGAATGAATGAAATTTAAAAAACCATTTCAATACAATAAGAACATTCAATAAATGACAAAAAAATATTTAAGAACTGGTGTGTCCTTATTTTGAAATTAAAAATCCTGGAATTAATCTCGAAGATCTCGGAAATAATAATGATGAAATCAAATTCGTTATGTTTGACTTTCCTGTTTATTATGTCAAACCAAATGATAACATCCTACTTACAAACAGTTTGAAATATGTATGTATATGTAGAAATTATTCTTCAGGATCATTTGTAATTAGAATCTAGTCAGGTTCCTCAAAATACTGAATGATAAAGTTTCAACAAATCTAATTTATATATTTTTTACCTAACTATGTGAACTAATCTTGGTGGATAAATCTAGATAGGACCTTTTAATATGTAGTAAAATCACAAGTCGCCTAAACCAGCTGTGGCAGACATATGGGCAATCATTTCAATCAATTTAATTAAAAAAGTGGCAAGGTTTTGTTCCAAGTAAAAATTATTTTCATTTTTCCCTTTCAGCTCTTCAGTGAACGTTGTATTAGCATTCTTACATTACTATCATTATCGGTCAGACAGTTCTGCTGACGGTTGTCATAATTATGTCATATTATGTAAACAAAAGCAATGCTGATTATTTGTAAAGTTCCGTTAGGAAAAATAAAAAATAGCAGATTTATGTAAAAACATTGTCATCCTGTATCTCGAATAGGGAGTATTTTTGGAATAATGTTCACATTAAAAGGTCTATTTTTAATTGTTACATACTGTTACATACTCTTGGGTTAAAGTTCAATTTATAGAATTTGAAAATGAGTATGATAAAGACATATAAAAATAGAAGTTATTCGTACCAAACACACGAAAACAATTTCCACCTCATTCCTTAGCAGCATAGCTACCACTGAGACAAACTAAGTGATGTAACTGATGACGCTACATCAAAAGTTCAGAAAATTCTACACGTAACTGTATAATAGTTAACTACGTTAATTAGGCATGATGACTGTGGGCTTTTAGACAATCATCAAACTCTTTACTGAAAGAAATAACACTGTGGTGTTTTAGAAACCTAACTCCAACAACTACTTATTTACATACCATTAGAACTCGGAGAGAAATTAACTCCGTTCTGGGCATGAGGTTTGCAAGACTCTAGGTTTAGCGCCAGAATTAGTTGCTCCAAGTGCAGTATGAACAACGATGGCAGGCTGGCCGGCAGAAGGGGGGTGTAACTCGTGAGAGCCCCCAGGCGTTAATGTTGCCAAAGCCGCCAGCAGGTCATGGTTGATCATCGGCTCGCCCTCGGCTCTCGGTTCCCAGTCCAGAGGTGGTGATGCAGGAGGCGAGATTAGGAACTGCTTATAAGGGGCGGGAGGCTGCAAATTTGGATTCTTTACTGGTGTGACAGGTTGAGCAAAGTAGCAGGTGATAACGGACTCGTTTATTTTATATTGGTGTAACTGTATTCTGGCACTGGCAGCTGCAAAGGCTGTTTGGAAATTTACACGCAATCTTCTAAAACTGCGCAGCCACTGAAATGTGACATCTGGATCATAAATTTTAAATAATTCTTCTAGTTCCCGCTTTTTCTCTGAAAGAAATACGTGATGTTAGATATATAATACATCCATTCTTCCTAAATAAGTAAATTTAAAAGATAATTTCACTTAGATGAAAGACATGGCTTCTACAGAAGTAGTGGACAGGGTCCATTTACTTCGCGAGTGTTAAAATTCGTTTGGTGAAATATCCATACATAAAGTTTAATCCCACCACTGGTACATAAATTTTGACTATACTTATCACCGAATTCCCAGGAATTTTTTTGGATCTGTGGCGACAACAATGTTAATAAACTTTACCTGGAGTTGTAAAAACGCAGTCCTGAATATTGGTTACTATAAGTGACGTTGGTAAATCTTCAAATTCATCATCTGTGTGGTGTTCAGGGCTGTCAACTTCTGCTTCTGCTAGAAGATTAGGGTGAACATTTGGAAGACCATCTTGATCATTTATAATAATATCTTCTTCACTCAATTCTCCGTTACTTTCAGCCATTTCAAAATAAAGATTAAAAACTTTGTTGATGCTAACTGCTTACCGGTTTATTATTATGCCGTAACTTGTGATTAATATTATGAGACGTGTACGCTCTACAACCTGTAATTTACCATGAAAATTATTTTCGATTAAATTGCTTCTTCAAAACACAGAAATTAAAAAATTTCACACAAAAAAGACCACACTGCTATTTCTTTCCTATCCTACAAATGTCAAACGTCCATGAAACCATTAATGGAAAATTCTTGGAGTATGTACGAGTAATGCTCCCAAATTTGTTTTTACGTAATCATTTTATCTTCTTCTAATACATGTGAAACCCAATGAAGTGTATTCTTTTAATTTGAATTTGGAACACGGCCGGTTACCCTTGTTCCATACTATTTCATATATCCATAGTACAGAAAAGACAGGTCTGAAAACCGAAGAGATAGTATTGGTACTAAATGTTTAATACAAATACAATGATTATGTATTTCGAAAAATTTGAGAAAATTTAACTAGGCCTAAGTTGAAAATAAGAAGTTAGGAATACTACTGTATTTTTTTTGTTGCTTTTTCATTCTGTTATTAAAAGTATCAAGTTCATGAATCATGAATTGCATTTGCCTAATTGATTTGGTGACTTTATATGGATAGGTGCTATTGCTATTGGTATACCTGTCTGTCTAAATTTTATGTCAACATGACCATTTTCTATGTTTGCGGTTAACTTTTGAAATTCTAAAAATTTTCTTTCAATTTTTTTCCTTTCTTTCCTATTGTACTGGTGACGTAATACATAAACATGGCATTTTCATTCGGAAGTACGAGTCAATCTGCTTTTGGTAGCACTCCAGCAAAACGTAAGTTTACTATTTTTATAATGGTTATGTTAACCAAGTACATATTTTAATCAAAATATATACTTTTCATTTACACTAAACTAGTTAGATATTAAGTAATTAAGCACGAAATTATATATAATTTATTTAGCAAGTTTTCAGTTTTATGAATGAAAATTTTTGAGATTCAGATTTGCAGTAAATATGACATCAAAAAAACAAGTGTTTCTTCTGTATAACTTGTGTAATAACGAATTTTTTTTATAAAAAATTAGTAGTTTTCAGAGTGGACCCTTTTGCGATTACTTACTGCGCTAAGATAAACATATTAAATTAGTGCTTAAGTACTATTGACTTACATACATTACTCAAAAATGGCAAATAATATTTGCGTTGGTTTGACAAAAATTCTTAAGTTGTGCTGAAGTTCTTCAATAAGGTATGATTCTGTTTGATTTGGTGGTGCATGGAATCTCAGCGGCTATGAGATAAAAAAATGGTTAAATGCAGAAAGTTTTAAACCTTCTGTTATTACTAATGACACTCGCATATCAGCTCTATCTCTTAGGGTTTTCAAGATATTTTGAAAAAAAAAATGTATTTTTAAAAATCTATAATTATTTTATTTTAAAAAATTTCTGCAATCTGTAAAAACATTACACTACCTATAGCAAGGTTTTTCAAGGAATGCTATTGTGGTCTAAACATTATTTTTTTATTAAAATAAAATAATACTTTTCAAAGTTTAGAGATTCAGGTTAAGATTCTAATACCAGTGTTGAACATTATTTTGATCAAAAGTTGTTACCGAGGTCGTTACTGAATGGCAAATTTCTATCGCATCTACAATTATGAACATTTAAATAATTTTGATTAATCTAGGGTGATGAAAATAATATTGTTGGATGTCTATTTAAGCTCTCATAGTTTTTCAATGCCGAAATGATGAAATAAAAGTCTTCAATAAAATCGTTTGTGAAAATTTGCTATAGGTAGTAATGTTTTTACGGACTTAAAAAATTCTTAAAAACTAAAAAGGTGACAGTAGATTTTGAAAATGTTTCTCCTTTTATGCTCCATTTTGTTAATAATAAATTTAATCCTATACTTTATTGTTTTCTTACGTCATAGTTTTTGAGATCCCAATACGTAGGTAGTACCAAAGTGGTGTACCTGGTATATTCTTCACACCACTAAAAAATTAAAGTAAAATATATAGGTACCAAAGAAGAGTTAACAATATTTAGTATCTGTATTTTTATTTTGAATTAACGAACAGTAATTGTTTTTATAATTATTAATAACAATGACTTATATATCTACAAATAAATAATTTTTATTAATTTAACATACCATAAAAGTAATATATTAATGGAATAAAATAAACAATAATTGTATTAATTTGAACATAAAATGAATATTTCTCAGTTTCATAATTTTTCGATGATACTAATTATTACAGTCTAGCAGTTTTAACCCCTTTAACAGAGCCTTTGACTGCTGAATCATCTATGTTACAAGAAGCCTTGCTACTCGAACTGCTGACATCCTTCAATTGTGTTACGTAATATCCATTTGAAACTTGAAAGCTCTTCTTACGCTTATAGAACACAAAAAGTCCTATGAAAAGAATAATGAGAATTGCCAACAAAACTCCGATGATAATATAAATAACTATTGAACCATCGTCATGGTCCAGATGCTCGTAGGTTCCGGGAGATTCGGTTTTATTTGGTGCTAAACTTTTAACAATGTGGTTTGTTACATTTGCAACTTTCTCTGAGGTATTAGTGATAACATCTTTTATAGTTTCTGTAACTAAGTTTGGTTGAACTGAGGTATTTTCTAATAGAGTACTGTTAGTGTTATTTAGATCTGTTATACTTTCAGTCGTATCGGAAGTTGTCTCTATAGTGCTGGTGATAATATCTTTTATAGTTTCTGAAACTCCAGTAGCTTGTGCTGTAACATTTTCAAATACTGTGCTGGTGATTGCACTTTCAGTAGTGTTGGCAATGGTACTTGTTACAGTGCCTGTGTCTATGCTTACTTGACTTGTAGCATTTTCGAAAGCAGTAGCCACAGTGCTACTTATTTCTGTAAAGGTGTTATTACCATTTGTAGTTTCAAAAAGGGCCGTACTATTATTACCTGATAAAACTCCAGTGCTGTTTGTACTAGAACTATCTGTCAAAATTAATCTGTTTTCAGTTGTTGTGGCTATTGTACTGGATTCCATACTGTTGGATACTGTAGTAACAATATTCTTAACGGTACCTTTTATACTATCCACTGACTTAGTTATATTGTTTGCTAAAGTTGTCATAATCTTTTGGTGTGTCAGAATGTTTTGGTTTACAGCTTCAGTTCCTTGTTCCGCAATTTGGTCTTTGAGTGTAGAGAAAATAGTCGATGCAGTATTGCCCACATCTGTTTGCTGTTGACTGTCCGTGACTCTCATAGTTGGTGTTGTTTCATCAGTGTCAATGTTTGTTTGATAGTTCATAGTAGAAATTATGTTTTTCAGTGTAGTGACTATAGTTTGAGGTGAAATCTCATCCTGTTCTTGGGGCCAGTCAAAGTTTAGAGGTGGCTGAAAAATAAATAAATAAATAAATATCTGTGCAAATTAATTAAAAATAATAACATAAATGACACTGAAATAGTCACACTTTATTTGATATTTTTTTCAAATTTTAGTAAGTACCTACTTAAAATTGCTTTGAAAAAATAATTTGTATCTACAAGAGAAAGTGTATGTATCTGAACTATTTACATTATTGTTATTAAGTTAATAAATTGTTAATAAGTAGTCAATCAGAAATAATCATTGAACAAAGCCACAAAACTATTATGATGTATAAAGAAATCGTTTTTTCATATCATATTTTTTTTTGTGATGTTTTGATTTTAAGGAAATTTGGAAATGAATTACAAATCACTCTGTACATATTGTAGGCGCCGCACCGCAGCAAAGTTTAATATTTGCAATAGTTTTCAATATTTCATTTATTCATCAAATACAATTTGATACCGAAATAAAGGGATTTGTTTACTATTTAAACACGTTTCATTTAAGGCGTGTTATAAAAGGCCAGGGGACAAATAATATTTATTACCTATAAAATTTACTTATTTCAAAACAAATGAGTCATTTAGTAATATTAGTAGGGGGAGTAAATGTTTTAATATCTTTTACAGCAAATATTTTCTTCGTGTCTACTTTTGATTGGTATTACAAATATATTTTCTTTTTAATAATTACAAAGAATATAATTAATTAAAATAAATATAAATATTTTAATTTAACATTGGGGAAATACCGAATATTTTTGATATTTTTTAGCAAGGTTTTGATTAAACTTCAGCGCGATCGCATGGTAAATTAATTAATCTTTTTTTTAATGACCACTGCACAGCACAAATGAAAAAGAAAGTTTGCCACTTACTGCCATTTTGAGTAGAAACTATAGAAAAGCACAGCACAACACTTGGTTCTAAACACCAAATTGTTTTTATCACAGAACGTTAGGTACTTTTTGTTAAGTACGTATGGAAATCAGTCTTTATCTAAACAGACTACCACTACAAACTGTTTATATACATATTTATAAGTCCACTGTTGACTGGAATATTTGTTAAAATTGCGCACATTATGTTTCATTCGAATCGAGGGTTAGGGATTTTTACATAGACGGTATTATTCATTCATTTATAAATATGTAGTTTCTTCTGCGGTTTTTATTTCATTTTGCTAAGACGTTGCAGGTAGGTATATCAGATTTCCCGTGGTTTCCCGAGTTTGTTATTAAACAAACAATTTCTCGGAAATTAATAAAATTATTACTAATCGAAGTTAGAGTTTGACTAAAAAATGTTTTTCCCTTCTTTAGTGATGCTGTCTCTAAGGAATTCAATTTAGTTTCTAGGAAGCATGAATAGATGATGGAAGATTATCTGAATTTAAAGGAAATTAAAGTTAATTTTTATTGTATTTTGATAATAAGATAGTAAAATTTCAGAAGAATGTAAATTCAAGTTATAAAAATGAAGTAATGCGTAAAACTATCCGGATAATGACCACGGCAGTGGCGTACTTGTTGCTGCTAAAATTGCGCTTCAGAAAAATGGTTTTGAAAATTTTATCTTATGTAAAACTTTGCTGGAAATACCTACCTAGCAGTTTTTCAACAAACTGTAAAAGTAGTAAGGATTACAATCAATAGGCTTATTTAACATATTTTTTGTGTCATATTCAGAAAGTATAGAATAGAAAGCAAAATAATACAAAGTACCTATACAGGTAATACAGATACAATTTACAAATAAATAAAAATACATACCTATTAAAATAATATTAATAACTAAAATGTATGTTAATTTTTAAAAGGTATAATGAACTACATTTACTTCGTAGGTATTTAAAAACTACTTGGAAGACTAATGAAAATTATTAAAATTACCATTCAGAAATTCATTTAAAGTATAAAAAGCAAGCTTTATCAAACAATTTTAAATTTTTGTTTTTAATAGGAAACTTGCGTGAGAATTTAATTTCTTTTAGATCTGCATAAATTTGTAGTCTATAACTAATAACAAGTAACAGTGGTATAAAGACATTGTAATTGCGTTAACGTTACAAATTATTTAATTAGATATTTAAAATTATGTAACACTTTAAATTTTGTGACGTGATCAAGAATTGTGACGTCATTTAGTGCGACCGAGAACACAACCGTCTGTCGTCTAATCAACACTTTCCATTTCGATGAGATTGAAGCTACTAAAAAAAAGCGCATGTGGGGAGCCTCGAAGCAAAGTGAATTTGGCTGTTTCTAGTCTATCTGATTGTGTAGAATTATATTATATATTCAGGTTGTCCATTCCTTCCAGTGTTTAAATGTTTTACAAATAGAGGTGACACATTAAAAATTATATTTTGAAAGAATGTTTCTTTCTCATTTTCTGAATTCTAAAAAATCTGGTATTAAGGCAATTTTTTTGCTAATGGTATAAGAATGAAGCTAGCTTATATTACAAAAATTGTGCAAATTATATTGAAGACATTGAAATATACAATGTTATCAGTTAGAAACAATCTCTGATTATATCAATTGATTATTATGAAAGAAACATATTTTTTAATATATATATATATTGACTGCTGAATCA